TACTCTCAAGCATCATACTGTACGAATCTAGATTTGCTGGATTAGAAAATAGAGCTAAATTCTATATTTAGTCTCTTAAACTTGGTTGTGGTATCACTTTGTTTTGATTCTATTTTGGTTCTATAATTTTACTTATGTTTGTCATATTTAGGCCAGAATGTAGACATAAACTTGGTAACAATGATATTTAAATTTTTTCCCAGGCTTTAAAAAGTTTCTGGCTCCGCCACTGCATATACTTAAGGCTCGTGGCGCACAATATTCATCATATTTACTACGTGTTTTGATGTTGTTTTGATAAAGAAAGAGAAAGACGCACAGAAGGTCTAAGGGGAAACTTGGTCCTAACGTTGTCATGTAAAATGGCCCTAAGGCCGGGATGCAGAAGGAAATTCTATCATAATGTTAGTATGTAACGGTGGACCTAAAGTTGAGGTTAAAAGGGACTAACCTAATGTTATTATGTATGGATTAAATCCTAATGTCTATCCTACTCCAAGCTTAGTAAAAATTTAAGTTGGACTAGGAGGCCTTAATGAAGCATGCAAGAACAAACTGAAACAAGGAAAACAAACAGAAAACGATAGCTACAACAACGCTTTAGCTTCAAAACAAAAATAAAAACCAAACAAATAAGCACAACAACTTTTAATAGCTTATGATTCAGCATATAACAGGTGTAAAAAATAGCAGGAAGAATAGATGCATAATTAACAACATGCTAAAATTCATTTAAACGTGTGTAAAAGCTCAGACAGCTCGCATGCATCAACGTTGCAACGAAAGCATATGGCATGGTAAAGATCAATCATGCGTTAAGAATCAAGCACAAAACAAGTTTGTTGAACAACTAAATGTTCAATGAGAACATCATGCATATCCAACACCGATTAATCATTCAAACAATCACGCACTTGTGGAATCAGAAATAAATAACGAGCATGTGATGCATAAATCCAGCAAGATAGACACCAATAACCAGCAATTGACATGGTACAAATGATTATGCAACATGATCATCACACCAAGAATGCAACACACTAATCATAGATATTCATCGTTGAAAACCAAAATTCGCATTTCAAAGAAATACAAGCATGCTATCAAGGATGACAAAACAACTCAAAAACAGTCCACAAACATGCATCATACCAATCCATAAGGTTTAAGGATGGAAAAGGATCTAAACAAGCTTGAAAATGCAAGAAAATGTCACTCTGCAACAATGTTAATCAGTTAACCTCCTGGTGTTAACCAGTTAACACTGTGAAAACAAGCCAAAAACACGTTCAAAAGTTGTGTTAATCGGTTAACACCAGGAGGTTAACCGATTAACACTGGGACAAAATGAAAAATTCAGCATTCAAAAGCATTTTTCAGCAACAACTTGGTTATCCAACAATCCAAATGAATAAGCAATCAATTGTGCACATAATTTATGCCAAATCACAGTATTCAAACATCCATTGGATTCAACAAACACCAAAATAAAAAAATAAAAAACAGCAATGGATCAAATATCACCAATAAACCAAGGATCTACATTGTGAGATGTAAGATTAAGCAAAATCAAAGCTAAATCTAGAATTTACCAACCTACAAAGTTGAGATTTGCTTTGGTGAGTGTTGGTAAGCTGCAATTAACATATCCGAGCAAGAAACCCAACGATCTATGAAGATCTAGCAAGAAAACTTGAAGATCCAAGCAATAATCCATAAATAAGCAAACGCTCTTCCAAAAGTGATTCCAAACAACTTAATTCAAGATCCAAATGAACTGCAAAACCATAATTGAACCAAGAATGATGATGCATTAGAGGTTTAACTTAAGAATTCACAAATTTCAATGTACAATTTGTGAAGCTTTTGGCTATGGAGCTTTTGTGAGGGTTTTGGAATGAGAGAAAAATTGAGAGAATTGAAGTGAGATGTGCAGAAAATTCAAAAAATGAGTGAGAGTTATGAGAGGTTTGGAGTGAATTAATTTAAGTATAATTTAGGTTTGGAATTAAATGTGGTTTGAAGTGTGGGTTAGTGTCAGGAATGAAAATTAAGAGCGGAATTAGGAATGAAAAATGTTAAAATTTTGAAGGAATTTGAATTAATTGGAAAATAAATAAAATTGGAAACCACTTCTAAATCCTTATGCTGGTGTAAAAAATTGAATTGGTGATTGAAATTGGGACCCCAAACTGCAGCGCTGTAAAAATGAAATATCTGGACAAATTTTGCTTTGGTTGACCGGTAAACCAAATTTGCCTAGCAAATGGTTAACCAGTTAACGCCTTTGAAAATTGTCTGTTGCCGCCTATTCTGAGTATAGTTTGGCCTCTGAAACTTTTCTTTTGATATTGAACCTATATAACACTTGAAATAAACTGTGAACTATCCCTTGTGCTCAAAATAACCTGCTGAAAAATATAATTCGGTGCCCGATTGCTGAGAAAAATAATTGTTGAAGCCTCTGATGCTTGCTGCTTAAAAACTTGCAATAAAAGAAAGCACTGAGCCATAGAAATAACTTGATCCCATGTCCCAATAACCAATTCCATGATATGCACAATGATAATGTAAAAACATAAGCCAACTACGGTTAAAAACGAGAAGGAAAATTTTGGGGTGCTACACATGGCTGGGTTGTACCTAGGGCCAGTTCTGGAGCTTTGGGTCATGTCAGAGATGCCTAGTTTTTCCCATTGGTTTTTTCGCTTGAGATAGACTCTGTTGAGCCAAGTGAGGTCTTCTTTGTTTTAAGTAGGAGACGCATAATGAAAGACGCGCGCAGGTTTTTCCATAAAGGATAAGTTGAGAAAGCGTTCTTCGAACGTTGAGGGCATGATAGTTGAATAACATGTGAAGAGTTTCTTGACCTTCCCAGTATTTGACTTTGTAGTCGGGTATGGTCCTTAGAAAGCAAGTAGCTTATTAGACAAAGAAAAAAGAATAAGTACCTGGTTAGCCTAAATGGTGATTTTTTCTTTTGCCATTAGTGGTCCGGGTATGAAATCTCTACCCTTTTCATCTTCTTCTGGTAGAATCGTGAACGCCAAATGATTCTTTCAAATGTCAAACTTGGATGCTGAAGTATTGACTACCATTGTTGAAGTTGTGAGTTTTTAAAAGGGTTTTGTCTGTGTTGAAGAAGTTAAGTGGATGAAGAAGATGACAGGAAGAGTTGAACTGAGTATTTATATAGCCTTATTACTTGTCAGAATTAGACACTTGGCATACACGTGGAGAAACGTAATGTTTCTGTTACAAGAAGTAATGACATTAATGTGAGTGAAGAGTTATTGAATACGTACAAATACATGTTCTCCTAGAAAATAAGAGCAATGATTGGATTCTGAGAGGATCTTTTAGAAAAGGACAACACGCAGTAAAGTGGTAATGATGACGATGACATCAGCAAAGAAGTTGAAATAGTGTTGAAAATATATTAAAAAGATGTCACCTTTCTCTTTCCATTCAAAATCGAAAAATGACATTTTAGGGGACAATTTGTTATCTCATATTTTCGACGCACATTAATTGCAGAGTTGAAACAAGGATCATACAAGAGTTTTGTAGAAAGTCGAGCTGGTTGATTATGACCATTTTGGTTTTCATGGATTCGACCTATCGAAGGATGAGGTTAATTCTGATCGAATATTGCAGTGAGTAAGAGACAAAAGAGGTTTGTCGAGTTTGAGACTTAGTGAAATTCAGAGTTCTCATTATCTCTCTACGCAGTTGAATGAGGTGTGATTGGATAATACCAGATAGTTATTCAAGGACACGTGGAGGTCCGTTGAAGGTAAATGCTGCATGGAGACGAAGACGTGATGTGTTTGGCTTAGTCAACCGTTGTAGACAGTTATTTTAAAGTAGTATATAAGTAGATGTTTGCTTATGTTTTAGAGGTCCGCAATTGTACACTATTCTACAAACTCAAAGTATCTGTGTGATTGAAGAAAAAAAAAGCAAGAATGTACACATGCGTTCCACTTTTTACAAATCAAAGTCTTTATATTCAAGTTATTTTTCTGCAATTAAATTATTTTCTTTTCTATCCTTTGTATTTCGATTTCAATTTAAATTCTAATCATCAATTCTCAAACTTTTACATTTTGATTCATATGTCAAATATACTTAAAACTCACTATTCACACAAATATATTTTAAAGTTTTTTCGAATTTAATCCCTTAAATATTAATTATAACTAACTTTGTTTATTAAATTTCAGAGAAGGTAATATATTTTGCAAAAATGATAGAAAATAATATATTTTAATATAATATAGAAGAATAATATAACATAAGTATTTCTTAGAAGAGAAAATGTAATTTACTAAGAAAAAGACTTATCCAAAATTAATATTCCTATTTTTTTTAAGAAACTTATTCTTAAAAATAAATTTCTAATCATGAAGCAATCATTCCCTAGATTTTAAAATGAAATTCATGTGAGATTTAGACATAAAACTTCTAAACTTTCTTATTAGCATGATAAATCTACACCATTAAGATACAGATCCTCTAAATAAGAACGTGGTTTCATGAATTAAAAAAAAAAAAAAAAAAAAGCATATCCGCATATCCGATACCACCTCCAAGTAAGAACGTGGTTTCATGATTTAAAAAAATGGCATATTCGCATATCCGATACCACTTAAGAGAAATCGTGATAATTTTTAATTTAAAACAGACGTTATGTCGGTATATACATTCTGACTATATATATATATATAAAAAAAAAACGCGAGGTGTCTCCGTCGTAGAGAACGGTGTAATACGGCCGAGTAATTCCTCACCACCCGTCACAAAATCCACGTGCAACACCATTAATTAACCACTTGTCACCACACTTTCCTCCTCCCTCTCCCGCCATTCTCGCTCTCCCTCCTTCTCTCTCTCGCTCCTTCTCTCTCTCACACAATCTAATCTCTTCATTTCACTGCTACAATTCTTCTGCATGCTCTGCGTGCTTAATCGATCAACAACCGAATTCAAATTCACCAATGTCAAGAGGTCCTCCACCAGGTATAAAGCTATTCAGAGGCAAAGAATGGAATCTTCAAACGTATCGTTACATTGTTTTACTCATAACATTCATCGCCTACGTTTGTTACCACGCTTCACGAAAACCGACGGGAATCGTCAAAAGCGTTTTATGTCCCGACGCGAATAAGAAAGCGAAATATTCAGGGTGGGCTCCGTTTAACGGACCTAACGGTGTTTCGAAGTTAGGAGAAATCGATTTAGCGTTCTTAGCTTGTTATTCTTTAGGTATGTATGTTGCAGGGCATTTAGGTGATTCTCTTGACCTTCGTTTGTTTCTTACGACGGGAATGATTGGAAGTGGGATTTTCGTTGGGTTATTTGGGATGGGTTATTTCATGAATGTTCATGAGTTTTGGTTTTATTTATTGATGCAAATGTTTGCGGGATTGTTTCAAGCGACGGGTTGGCCTTCTGTTGTTGCGGTTATCGGGAACTGGTTTGGGAAGAGGAAGAGGGGGCTTATCATGGGGATTTGGAATGCGCATACTTCGGTTGGGAATATTAGCGGTTCACTTCTTGCTGCTAGTGTTTTGGATTATGGTTGGGGCTGGTCTTTTGTTGTGCTTGGTTTGTTGATTGTGTTTGGTGGGTTTTTTGTGTTTTTGTTCTTGCCGGCTTATCCTGAGGATGTTGGATTTTGTTATATTCATGGGGATGAAGAGGAGCAGAGGGTTAAAACGGTTGATGGTGGTGCGGTTGAAGGGGAGAGAGAGAGGGAGAGGGAGAATCAGAGGACTGGTGATGGGAGAGATGGGAGAGGGAGTAGTATTGGACTTTATGAAGCTTGTATGATACCTGGTGTTATTACTTTTGCTATGTGTCTTTTCTTTGCTAAGCTTGTGGCTTATACATTTCTCTATTGGTTGCCCTTTTACTTGACTCAGACAGGTAATCATTTTTCATTACTTATATTGCATTCTATATCTTATAGAATAGAGTACTGCATTTTTGGTTTCGTGTTATTAGTGAATCTGTGTGTTTGGTTCTACTATGAAGACAATTGAATTTGAGTGAATTGGTTTTGTAAAATTGATTATTGAGTTGAACAAAATGTTTCTGTCTAAAAATCACGTTTAGACTCAAGTTACAAATCCTAGCTTCAAGTACAATTAATTCTAAAAGCAAGATCAATTCTACTTGAGAGCAACCAAACATGTAAGAATCGCACTTCTAGAATCAATTCTATTTTGAGTGCTTTGTATGATTGATTCCACTTTTGGAGGAAGTGAAAATTGATTCTATAGGTGTAGAATTGATTTTGATTTGTTTGGATTTTTTCAAGTACAATTGATTATAGAATTGATTCTAGATACTGCAATTTCGAGTTTTGTCTTAGCTGAAACCATGATGGGCCGCCGTGATTTTGCCAAAGCTACACATCTACATTGATTTGGGCAAACTCACCATGATATCAAACATGTTGTCTCTACAACCCGATTTCTTGCTTTGAATTTTTTGAGTGACTTACAAAATTGGTTCAAGTGGTAAACTTAGTTTCTTAAGTCCTTGAAATCATTTTTTGTTTGATCACAGTAGTTATTTTTGGTATGTCAATCGAGTCCAAAATTGTACGAAGAGAATCGGGTGAGAACGAGTATGATTGAAAATTTTCAATATCATATTGTAGATCATTTAAAGATTTTTGTTAATTTCAAGAATTAAGTTGCTAGACTCTATAATTTTAGGAACTAAAGTAGTGATTCAATGTTATAGTTAGATGTTAGTATACACAAAACACGTTTAGTTTGGTTCATTTCATTTTTCAAAATCGCTATTCTGTTCATTTTTATTGTTCAAACTGGACCAATATTTCAAATTTCATTGATCATAAACCATTATCTGCTACAAAATTTTAATTTTCATGTTGCAGAAATTGGCGGGAAGTATATGTCTGTTAAATCGGCCGGAAACCTTTCAACCTTATTCGATGTGGGGGGTATTTTTGGAGGAATACTTGCTGGTTACATGTCTGATAAACTCAGTGCCCGTGCTATAACCGCAGCCAGCTTCATGTATGCAGCGATTCCTGCTATGCTTTTATACCGAACATATGGAAGTGTTTCTATGCATGCCAACATTGGACTTATGATGGTGACTGGATTATTGGTAAATGGGCCCTATTCACTTATTACTACTGCTGTCTCTGCCGACTTGGGTACACATAAATCTCTCAAAGGCGATTCTCGTGCTCTGGCCACAGTGACTGCAATCATAGATGGTACTGGATCGGTTGGTGCAGCTATCGGCCCTCTTCTTACCGGATTCCTGTCAACAAGGGGATGGGATGAAGTTTTCATGATGCTAGTTCTGGGTGCATTTGTTGCTGGCCTTCTCCTGTCGCCTTTGATCTTGGCCGAAATTGCAGAGAAAACTGGCAAAACTAGGCCCAATGGACAACAAATTCCTAGAGGTAAGTACCAAACATCAAAGTCAGATCTTAAATTCAGAACTTTGTAATTGTCTATTTGTCTTATCATCCTTAATATTCTTTTTGACATGCTGGGATTATTTTTCAGACGCCGCATCTCAACCACTTCTGCAAGAAGAAAGGTGACACTGATCGTCGTCAAACTATAGTGCCTGGTAATTGGGTTGTCTTGTAGTTATATGTGAGTTTAGCTTGCTGCAGCCACTTCATTGTTCATATTTTCAATAGTGATGATATGTCTCTTCTGATAAGTCAAGAAGTAGATTCACCCAGTTAGTTGTATGTAGTATACTCTAAGGGTTCCATAGGGTTTCCTCATTCATTGTTGGGGATGGAACTTGCATGTAGAGGCTGTTTTCTTGTGCCACACTCGCATTCAAAGAACCTTTGTTTTCAATTTTGTCTGCAGAAGCAGGTTAGGATATTCAACCAAGTTCTTGATCATAATCCAAATCCTCTCTACTTATCTCAAATCTTGTTGTGATTTAGAAGAAATGTGTTTGTCAATTGGAATTGTATATACAAATAATTAGATAGTTTTTTGGGAAGGTTTTTTGCATTTGTTGTGGTGGTTTATCTTGTTCATTGTTTGAGTTCGGTGTCATACCACGTTTAAAAATTGATTTTAATTAGAAATGAGTCATTTATAATGATTTATTGATGTTTGAGTTTGTCTATTGTGTTAGCTCATAGTCCATATGGCATGACGGTAACAAAATTGAAACTAATTAACATCAACTCAACAACCTGAATTACATAATAACTTGCACAACAGGTTATCTACCCACTTGCATAATTGTGAGCACATCACTAGTTTTCTTCTTCTATTGTTATATGAAGAACAAGTTATCTATTCACCTTGCATAATTGATCAAATCACAAGTTTTTCCCCCCTTCTATTCAATAAGGGGAGTTGGATATATGGATCAATTTTTGCCATAATCTTTTATCAAAGACTATGTCTCTAAAATTATTAATTTGAGATTTTTTTGATAACTTCTCATATAGTTTTTATAGGTCTTCTCCTTTTTCTAATTTTTTTACTTTCTCTCCACCTAGTCTACACTCCTTATTACATAATCTACTTGTTTTCTCTCTCTATATGTACTAGTGTTCGCGTGCCCCTCTGTCCGTTTTTTTAATGCGCATAAAAATATAAACGATATTTTTTGTTAAAATAAAATACAATATGTGAAAGTTAATAATAATAAGTTATGTGAAAGTTAATAATAATAAGTTATGTGCAAGTTAATAATAAGACTTTATTAAGTAAATTACACAATACAGTAAGGGTAAAAATGATAGAAAAATATGTCACACCAAAATAAAGTATTCCCTCTATATATTATTATTACTAAGCGTCCAAATGGGCACTCCGTGCTCGTTTGTCCGCTTTTTTTATTGCGCTAACGCGTAAAAATATTAACTAACGTATCTTTTTATAAGTTTGATTTTAATATTAATTATTTATATTGATTTTAGTATAAATTATTTATATAAAATTTTTTTTAAACCCAGTTTAATATTATTTTTGAAATTATATACTGATATAATAACTATTTATTTTGACATTCGTTGTTGGAGTATGTGTATGTGAAAATTATCAGTTTAATATTAACTATTATTGCACTAATACGTAAACATAGATATATATTTATCAATTACCTACAAATATTAAATACAATTTATATTTAAAACAAAGAAACTCGTATGTTCGTCTTTTTAGTATACACACGTGTTAAAACATAAACATATTTTTTAATTTAATTTTGATCTTAATTAAGTTATCTTGCAACTTATCTAAAAAAAATGTTACCAACTTATCTAAAAGAAACTCATTTGTACGTTTAAACACAACATCTTGCAACTTATCTAAAAAAAATGTTACCAAATTTCTATAATACCAATTCTTTTTTCGAGACAAACAACATAACAATTTGTATAACTCCTACAAATAAATAGTATATGCATGAGAGTTCTCATTTGTGTGGCACTCTTAAAGAATGTCTCCGTCATAAAAATATGTGTTCTATAATTTTCTTCTTTTTCACGACAATAAAAGATATGGAAGTTATCTTTCAAATCCTTCTTAAGTTACTAATCACACAATGTTTTAAGGGTTTAAAGATATTGTACTGTCAGTGTAATACAATTTTACATATACAACCAATTAAAATGTCTATAATTATCATGTAATATCAGTATTTTTAAAATAAAAATATGTTTTATTCTAATTTGTTCCCATATTTAAAAAAGTATAAACAATTTCTATTATATATATGTGTGTGTGTGTGTGTGTGTGTGTGTGTGTGTGTGTGTGTGTGTGTGTGTGTGTGTGTGTGTGTGTGTGTGTGTGTGTGTGTGTGTGTGTGTGTGTGTGTGTGTGTGTGTGTGTGTGTGTGTGTGTGTGTGTGTGTGTGTGTGTGTGTGTGTGTGTGTGTGTGTGTGTGTGTGTGTGTGTGTGTGTGTGTGTGTGTGTGTGTGTGTGTGTGTGTGTGTGTGTGTGTGTGTGTGTGTGTGTGTGTGTGTGTGTGTGTGTGTGTGTGTGTGTGTGTGTGTGTGTGTGTGTGTGTGTGTGTGTGTGTGTGTGTGTGTGTGTGTGTGTGTGTGTGTGTGTGTGTGTGTGTGTGTGTGTGTGTGTGTGTGTGTGTGTGTGTGTGTGTGTGTGTGTGTGTGTGTGTGTGTGTGTGTGTGTGTGTGTGTGTGTGTGTGTGTGTGTGTGTGTGTGTGTGTGTGTGTGTGTGTGTGTGTGTGTGTGTGTGTGTGTGTGTGTGTGTGTGTGTGTGTGTGTGTGTGTGTGTGTGTGTGTGTGTGTGTGTGTGTGTGTGTGTGTGTGTGTGTGTGTGTGTGTGTGTGTGTGTGTGTGTGTGTGTGTGTGTGTGTGTGTGTGTGTGTGTGTGTGTGTGTGTGTGTGTGTGTGTGTGTGTGTGTGTGTGTGTGTGTGTGTGTGTGTGTGTGTGTGTGTGTGTGTGTGTGTCACTTTGTCTATTTTGGTTTAAAAATAGTAACTCATTTTCATTGGTATTACCAATTGAAAACTACACTTTTGTTTACTCAACACCATTTTTTTCGTTAACATACAATTATAATAATTGATGCATGCGAAAGAAAAAAAGTGGAATGATGAAAAGATAGTCAAATTTAAAGCTACGAACCCTCTTAGTTTTTTTTTTCATTTTCTTTCTCTTACACTCATAATTTCTCTCATACATCACACATTTTGTATTTATTTTTCAAAAACATGATCTTTTGCATTCATAGAGATTCACTCCACTTTAAAAAAATCTTCTTATATAACCATTAATCAATTCACTATGCTACACTTTCTTCACCTATTAAAAATTAAATGGAAAAGTAAGAGAACTATCTATTTCAATTTGGTTTGGGATTGTAAATTGGAATAGCACTATCAAAAATTAATGATGATTAATGAATTAAGCATCCTGCATGGATGATCCAATGAGGTTAATATTCCATTTTATTTAAATTAATAGCCAAATTTAAATTTAGATTCCTTTGAATTTTAATGAAAACCTCTCCCAATAAACAATTAATAGGAAAATTTGTTTCTTTCTCTTTATTATTCTTAAAACATATAATAGGCAAAAAAAAAATATGTTATTTGAAATAGTTATCTTTGAAATTCAAAATTACCTTTTTTGCTGATGGAATGCTAGTGTAATAAGACCAGACAATATAAGCATGAATTAGTTTCAATCTTGATGTTGCTCTCTAATACAAAAATAACACAGAAGCAAACATTGGAACTTTCATAGGACTTCTAATACAAACAATGACAAAGAAGAAAATTATTAACCACCCACAAACCATAAATTATGAAGAATCATTGGATGAAACATTAAATGAACATGTTTTTTTTACTCTCTACTAGCGTCCAGACGGGCACTCGCGTGCCCGTCTGTCCGCTTTTTTATTGCACACATATAAATATAAATGATATATTTTTATTTAATATTAATTTTACATAGAAGTTATGTGGGAAGTTATTAGTAGGGAGTTATATGAAAGATGATATTAGTAGTTCAATGAAAGTTATTGTGTAACTACCATCATTTAATAAAATCTTCATTTTTTATTTGTACTTTAGTTTTTAAAATTAACTAAATTAAATTTTAAATGATAAAATAGAAATAAAAATAGATCAGTCTAAAATTTCATGTTCCCTTTCTATATAGTTATAGATAGATTATTTAATTTTAATTTAATTATAAATTATTTATAAAATAATTAGAGATAATAATATGAAAAATAATAAACCATTGGCGGTTAATAAACCGTCGTGTAACCGCCGTTGTGAGAAAAAAAATTAAAATTTAAAACAAAAATTGAAAAGGGCAAATTTGGAAGGAAAAAAAGGCTACACCAAACTAATGTTTTGCCTTTATATATTAGTATAGCTATAGATATAGATAAACCATCTAAGTTTATTTTTCACAATTTTTTCTACTATAGGCGCTATCTCGACACTATCTAATATTTTAATTTCTAATTTTATTATGTTGAGTCTTATCACACATTCACCGTAACATCCTCATCTCTGCTACATTTGCTTTATTTTCATGATTTTTAACCGTTTAATATTTTGTCTCCTACAAAATTGTAGGTTTTGCCTCAGCCCGATAGAACTTTTCCTTCAACTTGAGGGGTATATTTGCGTCACATAAAATACCTGATGCCCTTCTCTATTTCAACTACTCAGCTTGAATTCGATAGTTTACATTTTCTTATATTTCTTCATTATTTTGTATTATGGATTCAAGATATATTTAAATTGTGTTTCTTGAGGGATAATATGGTCTTCAATTTTCATCTCTAGATTAAAAATATTTTTTCTTTTGTTGAACTTATATTCCATATACTCCGTCTTACTTCTATTTAGGTGAAAACCATGTGTTTTTAAATTTCGTCTCCAAGTTTCAACCTCTTATTTAAATCATTCTTTGACTCTTCAAGAAGAATTATATCATCTACAAAAAGTATGCATATTTGTGCTAGTTCTTAGATGTATTACGTGAGTACATTCAAAATAAGATATAAAAGTAGGGGTTTAGGGTTTTTTCTTCTATTGTTATCCCAAATAAGTTAGAGGATTGAAAATGTTTTTC